GATTCTGGAAGGTTCTTAGTGCTTCCATTTATTTCCTCTCAAAATTTAGGATTTTCTCCTTCAATTAACCCATCAACCTTTCATGGCAAGAACTGAAAAAACAGATTCACATCCAGATTCTTATTTCAAAAGGAAGTAATTAATTACCATTCAGAGTAACATGAAGTAAAAGCGGGATAAAACAGCCTCTGCTGGAACAGGACAGTGGGTCAGGGAAGAGACTCTGTCAGTGCAGGGAGGGGGCGTGGAGGGCAGGGGGCGGGCAGTCTCCCCCCTCCTCACAGGATGCTGAGAGGAACGCAGACACATTCAGATGCCCTTTGCAGAAAGAGAGGTCAGAGGTTCCTGAAGTCACAAAGTGGGGGTATGAACACATCTTGCATCACTCAGTCCCCCACAAGGCAGCTGTCTCACGCTGTAAAACAAAATCATGAACAAATTCAGGTTAGTGACTGTAAGTGGTGACGTATCAACAGCCCACCACATGGGTCAAAACGTTCCAAAGAATCCCCAGTACCCAGTCCTGTCCCCTCTGCCCCAACCCTTCCCACTTGAGGCCCTCCAGGTTCTCACCTTTAGAAGCCGTGAGAGACACATCAGAGCCCTGGGCACTGTCACCACCTGGGGGAGAACAAAACAGGATGTGGTCAGAGCTCACAGCAGATGTGGCGAAAGGAGGAATGATGGGGGCTTCCATCTACACTATCCCAAGGGTCTCAGGATCACCCCCCTCCACACTCACTTGCAGCCTGAGCATAGCTCCCTCCTTTTCCACCTGTGGGAAGAAAACATCACGTGAGAAGCCAGGAAGGAGGCAGGGCCATGAGGTCCTAAAGGAGCCCTAGTCCTGGAACCCAGAGAAGTTTCCAGAACTGTGACTACAGACCCACGGCAGGATCAGGAACCTGAGAAAAGTACGTGTGTGGGACTGGACCGACTGCCCTCCTGGAGGTCTGTCCCAAGCAGGGACCTTCTGCTCTGACCTGTGACTATTGAGAATCAGGTCCCCATCACCAGAATTATCAAGGTAATGATTTTCACACATGCATTAATGAAGAGTAAGTGTTAGCAAATAGGATCCCAGATTCGGATGGTCCTTCCCACTAACGAGGCAGGACACACTTGTATCTGGGGCTGAAAGCCCCAGTGGGACAAGACAACTCAGTCCTCACCCTTCCCTACCTGAGCGCCTCCTCCTCCACAGCACAGCTCCAGCCACCACAGCTCCGAGGAGGACCAGCACCCCAACAATGATGCCCATCACCATGCCAATNTTATTCAAATTCACAATTTAAAAATGAGGAGCAACATCCTGGAGAAGTAAAGTGACATAAATTGAGTTAGGCCATCTGGATCGCAGACTCAGCACACATTCCTGCCCTAAGGGAATCACAGCTCTACTGGGTCAACACCAGGTGTCATATATGGCAAATATGCTAATTACTAGAAGTGATTTTGACACATTCCAGGATACACCAAAACAAAGGGTAAGGAAGGGATACAGTGAATGCAGAGATAAGGGGGAAACTGATTTGCTTTGAAGAAGAATATAAATTTTAAGGACAAAAAAATTAGGAGGTGAGAAGCTTTATTTGGACCAAACCAAAGATGAGCTCACAGGTCCAGGTATGAAAATGCCTGACCTCGTCCTGCCTGAAACCCAGACTAGCCTCAGGCAGCAGAGCTCCTGGCCTGGCCGCACCTCCATGGTTCTCAGCCCTGGGGGACATTGTGAAGTGTGGGGTCATTTGGGTTGTCATATCTGGCGAGGAGGGGGGTGAGTAGGGAACATCTGGCATCCTGCAGGGAGAGGCCAGGGATGGTGCTAAACACCCACAATACAAAGGGCAGCTCCCACAGCAAGGACATCTGGCCCCCAGTGTTAATGTCACCTGTGTTGAGAACTCTGCGCTAGAGGTAAGTGCTGCAGTGTCCTGTCATTTCACAGATGAGGCAACAGAGGCAGCAAGAGGGAAAGTGCTCATAAGACCAGAGCAGGGAGCTGAAACCAGACTGCTGGGCTGCAGATTGGGTGCCCTCCGCCCCGAGCCCAGTTCAGTCAGGAACTGGGGAGCTGACCAAGGAGACTGAAAGGTCAGCTGTGGGGCCATTATGGTCTGTCTGGTCCTGGCTCTGGGCTTGTAGCGTCATGAGTTCTGGGAAAGAAGGCAACAGAAAAAATAACCAACAGTCGGGAGTTAACTGGGCAGGGAAACCTTGTGTTTTCTCAGGGATACTCCGTCCTCAGGCTCTCCAGGTTTCAGGCCTTGCCTCACTCAGGAAAGTAATGTCCCCCTGGATTCTCCCCTCACCCCAGTTTCCCAGGTCTTGCTGGTCTCCTCCCATGAGTCCAGCACCATCACCACCTGTACCTGCTTCCACCACCCACCATGCAGGGGAGTGAAAGGGCCTCAGGACTAAAGCACCAGGCCCAGGAGTGGACACCCAGTGCCCTCCCCTCCTCTCAAGCCCTGACCCATCCCCTGACTCCGTGGGAAACCCCTGAGAGGTCATGGCACCTTGGTCCTTCAGGCCTGGGAGGGGCACACATGCATCTCCTTCTCTGCTTAGATCTCGGGCCTCGTCACCTGCACAAGCACCTACCTGCACACAGCGCGGCTGTCCGCACCACTGGCTCCCCAGCCACAGGCACTGACCTCTCCTGCAGCTCAGCCTGTCCCCCTCCTCAGCCCTGAGCCAGCAGCTCCTAACGAGAAAGCTCATCAGGAAGCTGAGGTCACCAGCAGGCCCAGCCTAGACAATGGGGCTCTAACCCCACCTGACCCTGGATCACACCCTGCTCTCAGAGACCCAGGCTCTCAGGCTGCACTTGGCCTCCACTGCTTCTTCCTGGTGCCTTTGCCCCTGGAATTGCAGCTCCACCCCAAGAACTGCTGCTGGGCTGAGGCTGCCCAGGCCTTCCTGCCCCTTTCCTGCGGGGGACTCACCAGGCACTGCCCTCAATGCCCATGGGCTGCTCAATGCAGACAGAGTAGGGGGTTCCTGAGATCAACTCAGCCTGAGGCGGTATCTGCCCCTCTCTGCACCCTGGGACTGTCACTGCCACCGCCCCCCTACCTCCCACATGGAACCCTCCTAGACAGGGAGCTCCCCGTTTGAATCCCTGTTTCATTTCACATGCATTACAAGATCAGGATTAAAGGAAATCGAATTAGGGTTAGCCAGCTGACATCAGAAACATTTGTTGTGGACATGAAAATTTAAAGTGGGATGTTTGAGAAATTAGCATATGACTGTCACACTTCCCAGCAAATGCCCCTGTGACAGTTGGTCCAACCGTTTCTGCCCAAGGGAACCAGAACCCTGTTCCCTCTGGGGCCACCCAGGTGAGAGCAGGAGCAGCCGCAGACCTGCCCACCCCTGCTCTGGGCTCAAAGTGGAGGAGCCTCTTGCTGTGGGCAGGGTGAGAAACCGTCCCTGTCTGCCCAGGACTGACGGCCAACTGATGAGGAAATTAGGTGCTAGGGTGACAAATCACCACCCCCCACGATGGTCACGCAGAAGTGAGTCAACACCAGAAGGACCCGAGTCCCTGCTCAGCCCTTTCTCTGTGTCGGGCGCTGCCTTTGTTCTTTGCCCAATCACAGAACTTCCTGTCCCTCTTTTCCCTCACCTCCAGCAGCCTGACTGTGGGGAAATCATTTTGGCCACCCCGTCCTCCAAATCTACAGGGCAGTGCCCACCAGGAGGAAGGGCACTGGCTCAGGCAGGGCAGGGGGAGGCCACAGAGCACAGACCAAGCGCCCACTCCAAACAGCCCCGGGGACTATGCCCCAAGGGCTGGACAGGAGACACCTAGGGGAGGACAGCTCAGTGACCACAGCTGTCCTGGACGGACTGGCCCCTCCCCCAAATGGTGAAGAGGTGTCTGCTCTCCTACTCTTCCGTATTTTCCACAAAGAAACTCCAGGAAGCAGGGGACCTGTGGTGGGAACAGTGAAAGAGTACAGGACGGAGTGACCCAGAGGGAACAAAACTTGGGAGATGGTCCTGGAGGAGGATTTTGAGGGGCTGTAAATGGACTCATGTGTCTCTTATAAGTAGGGCCTCCCAAGGGGACGTCACAGGCAGGACTCGGGCACCACCCACGGACCCTTGATGGGCCCCATGGGACTCTCACTTGGATTCCTCATGATGGATGGAGAAATTGGGGGAGACGGACAGGACTGGAGTCGTCAACTCTCCTCTGAGTTCCTCCCCAGTGACTGACCCCTCCCCACTGGGTCATACACACTTTACTGCTGGTTCCCTCTGATTCCATGATGACCTGGGCCCTCCACACAGTGAGCACATGACCCCAACAGGGACCCTCGGCCCTCCCTGCTGCCCAATCCTGACCAGAGCAAGAGGAAGCCACAGCTGAACACTCAAGGGCCCTGGCCCAGGCCTGGCTTTGGGCGGGGCTAAGGGGTCAGATGCAGATGTGGCTGCCATGCCCCTCCCAGGTGCACGACGTCCAGCTCCTCTTACACGGGCTGGTCACCCCCACGCCTGTCTGTGCAGAGGGAGATGGGAGGGACCCTATGTGACAGGCAGAGCCCGCCCCCCACCCACTGCCCAGGTTTCTCCCCTGGGTACTCCGCAGCCGATGGTGTCCTCTTCTTGCACCAAAGGACACAGAGTGATGATGACAAGAGCAGCAGCAGCGACACCCAGAATGGTTGGGCAGCGACTCTGATGACCAGGGCCTTTCCTGAGAAAGGGACTCATTATGACCTGGGCACCCCAGACCACAGGCCTGCCCTCCTCTCCCCGACCCGGGCCCCTGACCCTCCCAGGGTCAGAACCCCTCCAGGGTCACCCCAGGCTCACCAGAGGGCACAGCATGTGCACTGTGGTTCCCGCTGTGTTCCCCGTTGCACATGAACCTCTGCTCCTCTCCTTGGGGGACTCCTATGGTCGCCCCGGTCTGGTAGGTCCCCATCTCCTGACTGTCCCACCAGGATGCCACTGCTTAAGCCTCTCCCTCCTCTGGGTTACTCTCCCCTCTGCCTTCCCGCCCCTCAGACCTGCACTTACTAACATGTCATCCCAATTGGATAGCGGTGATGATGGCACAGGCTTGGGCTTATACTAAACACCACCCAACTCTACACTTTAAAGGGGTGAATTATCTAATACATGAACTGCATCTCAGTAATAATGTTAATATATGAACGGCATCTCCGTAATAATGTTGATAATAACAATAACGCCATCCCAGGTGCCTCCTTCTACTGAAAGCTGTGCCTCATCTCCAACACACATTTCCTGGTCCCTGGACATGTCCCGCGTGGTCCTCAATCTCAGCTGCTTATAGAACCAGCTAGAGAGTTTTTCCATAGGCCCAGGCCATAGCCAAACCCATCGAATCAGTGCCGTTGGGTTTGGCCCAGGACTTCTGCCTTTTAAAGCTCCCTGGGTGGCTCCACTGTGCAGGCGAGTCTTAGAACCGCTGGTCAGCCCGTGGTTTGAACCTCTGTGCTGGTACCCAGGTGCCCTGCCTTGAACCCATCTTACCATCTTATCCTCCCCCCATTAGACAGTGAGCCACTCCAGGATCAGCAGATGTGTTCATCTCTTCTTTGTCTCCCTGAAAACGCTTTCTTACAGTGGAAATCTGCTCATCATTACTATTTCACTGTGTTTTTGTCCTTTCAAATCAATGCACATGCATGATGGGAGTTTTGCTACGGTCGCCGTAGCAGCTCATGCATCTTCACGTGTGGCATATTCACAAAATGGCATCCAATCTCCTCCCAGAGGCCAGGATTTACTATTATAATGAGCTCTCCCTCACCTCAAGTTCATAAAGGCTTCCTTAATGGGTTTGGTTCTCTTTGGTTCCTTAGTGGTTTCTGTAGGTGGTTATCTGTGTGTGCAATAATTTCCTGGAAAATAGGTGATAAAAGTGAACTGGCACCTTAAGATGACTAACCACAGAGCGGGAGGACTATGGGTGGAGCTGGGTCCCCTGTTACCTGTCTAGTCCTGACTTCCTGTTGAAACTTGGTGGTAGTTTTTGGAGGAGGGATCCTTCTTTTTCAGGCCAATAGAAGGTCCTGTCTCTCCCCATTCCTCACAGGCTGCAAGACTCTGGGCAGTGAGGCTCTGGGCTCCAGACCTGCTGCCATCAGGCCAGACCCCTCTTCTCCTGGACTCTCTTCACCTCCTGCCCAGCCCCACTCTGCTTTTTCTGTATTTCCTCACCCTTTTCCCCTCCCCACACCCACTCTGAATATTCCTCACCTCTTCAAAGGCTTTCTCCTTGAG